TCAAATTCTTGTTCCTTGAATTTTTCTGGGTAACATATTTGAATTTATTCAAAATTTAAAAAATTACTACGTTTGGTATAAGTGGGTCTATTTTGATATTTAAAAATCCAATTATATTGATAGGAAATGCATTAATTTGCATATTTCACATCTCTCTTCAATTGGCTAACATTTCCAAAAGGAATATGTAATTGCTCCTTTACAATACCTCACTAGTTGCTATATAATATGTGATCTATCTTCTTAAATATTAAACTATTTCCTCTCTGCTGTCCAATTATGTATACTAGATTTATGCTAAAGCAAAGAAAACTTGTGTTTAGTAGAAAGTAAAATAGCATATATAGTATAAACATTGTGCTAGTTACACTGGAAAATTATTGAATCCTATAATTATATTATTTTAAAAAATAAGTGATAAAAATATACATTTATTTGAAAATGTCCCAGTGCTTTGTATTAAATAAACTCAGAAAGTGTTATACATTGGATTAAAATAAATGATGGCTTACTAGTTATAGAATGTGGGGGACAACTCTGCATCATTTAAGGCCATGACTTTAATGTATGGTAAAGGTTTTTTTTTTTTCCTTTTGCTTTTTTTTTTTTCTTTCTTTTCTTTCCCTCTATTTTTATGAATGGAGAATGCTGCTGTCTGAAAGCTGTCTGGGAATTCAGCCAAAGAAAGAAGAGGTTTGCAAAATCTCTAGTGACTTGAAAGAAAAAGTGGCTGGCATTAGCTCGGCCCTTTAAAATTAAAACAATAGAGAGCCATGTACAGTAATCTCTCTTTTAATGAAAGAATAGAATGCCTCTATAGAAGTGTCAAGTGGAGCAATCTGGTTCTGGCCCAGCTGTTGCACAGGAAAATGGCAAAAGGCTTCAATCCGAGTCAGGCAAAGAAGGTGTGATTATTCATAAACAGTCACTAGGGCTTTCACTTTTAGAACAAGGAAGACGTTAGCTTTCAAGAGGACAGCTTAGGTACAGGACTCTCAGGAAAACTTGAGCCACACCGTCATTTTGTGATTTGGACACAAGAAAGTGGTGTCTTTATATTTATTAATAATAACTAAAAATAATGAGTCACTTATTCTTTAAGAAAGTGTATCCCTATCAAACAGTTTTTAAAGAACAATAAAGGTTTTATCATGGATTAACGATGTTAACTAAACGTGCTGTGTGATAAAGGAATCACCTTCATTATACATTCTGATTTTCACTTGCTCATTAGAGGTACATCAGGAAAAGATAACACAAATTAAGTGCTAGGGGAGAGTATTGGCCACTAAGCTGTATTGTTGCTTCTAAACTTTGCCAAAACAAAATGGGGAATCAGGTGCAACAGCTACAAAGCAATGGAGCAGAACACTGGCGTGATTACCAGAGCAAAATAGGCAGTTCTGACCTACACATTATCTACATGCAATACCAAATAATTCAGCTTTACACCCACTCTTTTGATCCTATTTTAAGATATGGCAGTCATCCTATTATGCTTTTTAAATATTTCTTTTTAAAATATTTTGTCATCCCGCTACCACTTTTCATGACTTGTTTTCTGAAGTGAGTGGTCTTTCCTTTAGTGATTCTCTTCTTTCTCTACTATTTACAAACCTCTGATTCATAAATTTCAGTTTACCTTCTGTGCTCTTTGCTCTAGTGAGACTAATTCTTTATTATCAATAAGATTTCCTTCTGGGAAAATCCAATAATTTCTCTTCAGCCTTTTCATGTTACTTATCCTATCTGCCTCATTTGACACTGTTGAGGATATAATATAAACTAGAAAGGCTCCAGACTAAACTGTCTTTAAAGAGGTTACTGCGCTCATCTATTGAAAAGGAAAGTTACTCTGAAAATGGAGACCTGATTTAAGATTAGGAAAGAAGAAAGGCGGAGCGGTAGTCTAAAAGAAGGAAGAAATCAAATAATTTGACTACAAATTTCAAAATGGCCTGGCAGTCTAGAAGGAAAGAAAATGAAAGAAGCAAGCTGAAAATAGGAATAGAATACAAGATAAGTTCATTATGCACGTATTTGTACACAGTAAAATGTATAAATTGTAACACTGAGATCTATAAAGTAAAAGACAGTATTATATTGATCGTTCGTCTTCCAGGAGTATAAAAGTTATGGGCTTAAAGATAAGACATAATTATAGTTTTCTATATGAGTCTAAACTTGTGCTAGAAACAATCAATCAGTTGAATAGGACCATGGCAAGTGTTTAGAAAGATATAGAGAAGAAAACTGATCAAGTTGGTAACTGAAAAATGTCACAAGACTAGGAAGTTCTTCACTCTGCATCCAAGGTTTCAACTTCAATTCTTAAAATTACCTGGAGCCTCATTTTAGACTTTCAGTAGTGAATTTATCTAATATAAGTGATAATGTAGACTCTGAATGAAGAGCAACAATAAATGAAGAAATATATACTGTAGACAGTGTTAAATTTAGAGCAAATCCTGGCTCATGAATCTTAAATCTGTATGAGTAAGAAAATTTGCTTCACACTTCTGAGACTTAGTTTTCTCTTCTTTTGAATAGGGAGCCTTTTTAATTCTTTTTTTCTATTTACAGAGTGATATTAATCAGAATCTTCTCGAGTGACATTTTCTTTTTCTTAAACTTCCTCAGCATTTATATTCTTAAGGAAAATAAATACAAGTTTATGCTACTTTGCATTCATCTGCAATGCAAAAGTCATTACACATTGAAACTTATTTATAGGTAACTGAAACTCAGAGACTCAAAGCCACATCTGTTCAACCATATCTGAAGTGAATAATATAGACTATTTAAATTCATAATTTAATAAACCTCACAATCTATTCCCATATGTTAAATGATGAGTCTACTGTTTGGAGCATGCATGTGATCAAAAAATAGATCACTGAGAGACAATTTGATGCTTTCTCAACAGGCACACATTTATTTCTAAACATGAAAGAAGAAAAGACAAAATTGTTTACTATGCTGTGATCCTATCATATTCCTCTCTATACCTGTATATTGACCTGTGAGGTTGTAAGGAAGAAATGAAGCAAGAAATAGAAAAATAAAGAAAAGAAATAGTTGGAAAATAATAACAAAATGAAGCAAGTGTTAAAATGGAAGAAAAAGTTTGGAAAGAAATTTTGATATTAGATACACAGAGTCAGAAGTTAGAATTTAAATAGTCTAAAGCCAACTAGGGTTCATTACATTTTTATTCCTAAAGTATTGAACTTATAGCAAAAGCTCTTCTTGAAGCTATAATGCTAAAATGTACTTGTCACATATAAATAGCATATTGTTGTGGAAAAAAAAGACTTCTTTTATAAGCAGCGTAAGCTACTCCGTAAGAAGTATGAAAGTGAATTGAGTGGCAAAATACTGAGGATAATAAAAATATACTGTGAATGTTTAAATTTTTAAAAATTATAGTACAAGCTCATTATATTGCCATTAATGGGCCTTAAAATATTCCCCCCTCATTTTGAACACACTCGCTGCATTTTTCTTGCTATTTTCTGAAGTAGTTCTAGAAGTTCACTTTGGGGTATGTTTTTAAAGTGTGATTAAAAAGAATTCTTCATGAATTTTTCCACTGAGTGTTATCCAACAAACAGGCAGATTGGTAAAAACATGGTAAATGATTAATGCCAGTGAATCTTTCACAATAGATTTTTAAAAATTTATACATCCATCATATTTCTCAATCACGCTTCATATAAAGAAGCTACCATGAAAATGTTTTTTGAACTCTAAAATAAATTCCAACATTTAAAAGATAGAGTAATAATAAATTAATCTATAAATTTCTTCTGAAAGACTATCCTCTGGAGAATAATGATTAGAAGAGAGAATAATTTTAAAATATCAATACTCTGATGAAGAAGATAAAGTATGGCAGAAAATACAATGGTATGAAATTGGAAGAAGTTAAAATATTGGGCCATTTTCTGACAGGTGACTTCTTTAGATGAAAGTCCTCATGAGACTGTATGATTTCTTCCCTTAAATAATTAAAATATTATTGGAAGCAACATTTTAGTAATTTAACTTTATTTTCACCATAGCTGTTGTATTTAGCTATATACAGAGTACAATTAAATCCATCTAATTAAAATTTAAGTAAAATAGGGCCTGGGATTTAGCTCAGTGGTTCTGCTGCCTGCCTCGCAAGCACCAGGAGCCAAGTTTGATTCCTGGTACAATAAATAAATAAAATTAAAAATAAAATTAAGTAAAATATAAGTCTATTGGAAGCTTTTAAATATCAAATAAATTACATAGAGCAGAACTAGAGTGACATTATTTAATCATATAGCTTCCAAATAATTGATATTTGAAAAATCTATTTAAATTTTATATAAAAATAGGTAAATTATGAGTCAATGTTTTATAATAGTGAATGACAAAATACAGTTTTAGAGTTGAGGTAATATTAGCATAAGTATATTTTAATAAAGAAATTACTTTATAATTGAAAGTATTGAGCTTATGAAACTTTTCACTCATTACTTCCAAGAATATAATATTCATACATTATGATGCATTAGTAGCTACATTTGAAATACACACTTTACTTTTCTTATTCTAAAATTGATTCTCTCTGTAAATCTTGGGCATTTTTTCAGCATGCTTCATTATTTTCATTTTCCATGAAACAACTAAGTTCTGCGATGTGTAATTTTTATTAGTCCGATAATATAAATAGTGACTGATTAAGCCTACAGTCATTTCAGGTTGGGATGTCTTACTATGTTAGAAAAAAAAAAAATGGAAAAAAAATCACAGCTGGAAACCTTCCCAGAAACATCACTAGATGACAAAGTAAAAACCAGCCTTCCACAGACATTTAATAAAGATATGGTTCAGGGTTTTTCTATTTCTGAGATCATTTTCCCCATTAAGAAAAGAAAAAAAAAACAGTGGATTTTTACAGTTAAAACCTGCAATCAAAGCACAAAGAAGACAAAGTGAAAAGCTTTATTGCTCATTAAATGACTTACAGTGGTTTTCCTTTAGATTCACAAGTCAAAATTAAAGGCTGTCCTTCTTGTGGAAAAGGAGTGGATGGTATAATCTTAACTGATGGTGTATCTAGAAAAAAAGAATTAGAAAATTAATTAAACACACATAAATGATATATCAATAACTGAACATCACCTGTATGTTTAGAATTTCTTATATTTCTTGTAACTATATATTTATAATTGACTGCTTAGCTTTAATGAAATGAGCTATGTAATTTTTAAGAAGGTATCATTCTGTTCAGACAAATCTAACGAAAATATCTGAATATCTTAGAAGCACAACTAAAATCTGAATTTAAAAGTGAAATTGAAAAAAGTGCTTCAAATGAATATCAAGTATTTCATACAATTGTTTCCTCATCTATTTATAGATAGCTATGAATACTATTATTATGTACTGAATGCATATATGCATTTGAATAACAACAATTTCATCGTTGCAGGAGTACCAGGGAATCACAATAAGGAACCTACAATGAACTCAAGATCAACTATTGTGTCAGAAGCATTATTCTGACTGTGTTTGAAAATGCAGTAATGCAGCACTGAGCTCCTGCGGATTCCTTTTAAAGTACAGTGGGCAATCATTTCAAATAGCTATTTATAATATTACTAAAATTTAACATTTTGCTTTATAACCCACAACATAATTTTTGGAAAATTGTTTATTTCCATTTAATAAAATCATCCCTAGTGGAACAGGATTTAAAATATAAGACATTTACATTTAAAACTTGCATGCCATGTAATATTCTTTAATCACAAAAGTCTATATTTCATAGAAGAAATGGAAACTTAGATAAAAATCCCAGAACATATATATTTAATATTTCCTCTGTGTGTGTGTGTTTTATGTGTGGTACTGGGGATGGGACTCTGGGCCTTCCACATGCCAGGCAAGTGCTCTACCATTGAGTGACATGTGCATCCCACTCATTTATTTCTCCATTGGTCTTTGCTGGTCTTCGCATTATCTCACCGGTGCTTACTGGGAAAATTTCCTCCCCTCTTATCTCCATATTTTCTATCATGAACAAAATAGTCCTGAACCTGTTCATATCATCACAGTTATTCTCACACTTTCTTTAGTTTTAATGTAAGAATGGAACTGCTATGCCATTATGTGCACTCTCTGATATTGAAGTCATTTAAATAATTATCAGTAAATTATTTAATTTTAATCATTTAATTTTAATTACTTTTAAAGAAGTAAGATTCAGATTTTTTATGTATAAAATAATAAACTACAATCCTTTAAAATACCTAATATCACAACTTTAAATTGCTTACTGTTTCCTAGTTATACTTTCTCAATTCTTAAAGATTGAAACCATATTTAAGATAATAAAAATATTATTTTGATTACAAGAAAGTATTCAATATATATTATAAAAATAATTATAGTATAAATAACCCAGGAAGAAAAACTGGTTTGAAGAAATATGACACTTTTTTATTGTCTTACAACAGGAAAATATTAAATAATCTAAAATGCTTTTCTCAAATGTTTCATTAATTATCATTATATTTATGGAATCAATTATTGAGTAGATTATTATAGAATTGATTCTCCAAGTGGGGTAATCGTTAAAAGTGAAAAGACCAATAATAGTTTTACAAGGTAATGTGTTAGACAGAACTGTTCTAGTCAAACCGAAGCCTACAGTCTTCAAAACTTTAAACAAACTTACACATAGCAAAATTAATTTTACTCTATCCTATTATAAAACAAAGGTCTATTTATAGGGATAACTTTGGAGAAAATTAGAAAAGTGTGATTCTGAGAAAAACACTGGGTTGGCTTTTGAGTCTCTAATGGTTAATCTTGTCTGTTATCATGACTATGACTGGGGTAACCCAGATTTTTGGTCAATCATCATCCAATGTGTTTCTCTTCAAATGATTTAGGATGTGGTTATCACTTAAACTATTAGACTGAGTCAAGCAGATTCTTCTCCAAGGTGTGGTTGGCCTTTGTTTATTATTTATTTATCTCTGTTCCAGACCTAATGAGAATAAGAGTCTGACTTTACTCTAAGTAGGAAGAGAACTCTTCCTGCGTGTTGGCCTTTGAACTGGAACATCTGAAATTTTTAATGCCTTTGGGCTTGCTATAGTTTAAATCTAGAATGTTCTCCAAATGTTCATGTGTGAAAGGCTTGGTAGCCATCTTTGGCACTATTGGGAGGTGGTGGAAATTTTAGCAGGTAGAGCCTAATAGAAGAAAGTTGGGTCATTGGAGGTACACCCTTGGAAGGGAAGTTGATACCCTGGACCCTCCTGCTCCTTCTCTTTGCTTCTTCACTGTCCTGAAGTGAACAGGCCTTCTCTGCCATACACTCTTGCTATGATGCACTGTGTCACCACATCAAGGCCTAAAGCAATGGATCAACTATACCTAAAAGTGTGAGCCAAAACAAGTATTTTCCCATATTAAATTCATTATCTTAGGTACTTTTTCTACAGTGAGAACTGAGTTATCAGAACTAGAATTTCCTGGATCTTCAGTCAGCAGACCTAAGGGCTGTCCCCGAAACAACAATCCTTTCTTCTCCAGTTGTCAGAATCAGGATGGCACCAAACTAGTCTCTCTTTTGAGTCTGACCTGCTGACTTACTGCAGAAGAGAGGCCAGCCCCCATAATGTGAAAAGATTCTTACAATAAATCAAGAATGGAGGGGGCTGGGCATTTAGCTCAGCAGTTTGATGGCCTGTCTTGCAAGCGCAAAGACCGGAGTTCAACCCCAGTACAAAAAAAAAAAAAAAATTTGGAGGGAGGTTTATGAAAAGGGAAGGAACAAAACTGAAAGGCGTTCTATACATGTACCAACTATCCATGATAAATGTAAAAAATGTATTGCAAAAATATGTAATAATAAAAATAAAATTCATAAAATCACATTTATAGATATGTAGATCAAAATTCTAATATTATATATATTTATAATAATATTATTTAGTTTTTTCACTGAAAAACAAAAAAAGCCCATGTATGAGCAGATTATACTTTGAGTAACTCAAGTCTAATTGTGATATGAAAATGACTGACTGTGTACATCATATATTTCAGTTATATAATTTGATCAGCAAAGGAGAGGAGTATTTATGGAATATTTATAAATTCTTATCAGGGTTTGTTTAAGGATTACTCCTGGATTAAAGGTGGGAAGTCTTATTTCTCTGGAAATTCTGCCATACTTAGAATGTAGGTATGCTGTGTGAAAAATGATATGGCAGATTTTCATATATCCCACTAAGCTAAATTATACAGTGCTCAAGAGTTCTGAAGTTCCTTGTGACACCAGTGAGTCAATGTCTGCTCAGGGTGACTCAGAAGGTGACTCAGTAAGTGAAAAACTGTTAATCCTGAGGAGCTGGAATATCTTGAAGGCAGGATGTTTTGCAAACTCTCCCAGAAATTGGTCTCACAGGGAAAGCAAGGAAGCTCCCAAGGGGACAATCAAATAAATGTTAATGATTTAGCCAAACTCTAACCATGACTTGCTTGCCTGCCTTCCTACCTAAAGCAAACATCTGTGCTCAGCAGTACTTTATGACTGTTGGTTTTCAATAAACCTGATGATTCAATTCAGTGTGGGTCTTAATTCCACTCTGGTGAAGTCCCCTGGTCCCAGGTAAAGACATTTTCTTACTTTCACATCTTCATTTGTCTCTCTAAGAGGGTTTGCTGGTCTGAATCTGGTAGAGATGTACTACAAAACTAGAAGACATAATATGATCTGATTCTCATGCCTCTGCTACTTTTGTTTAAGTAGTGTATCAGAGTTGGAAAATTTTAAATATATGATCACTTGAAATATGATTCAGTTTTTGTTGACATTTGTTGTAAGAATTTTAATATAAGCAAATTGCAAAACAGATGATATACTTGGCATATATTTCTATGTATTTCTACCTGGCAGAATATCCCCAATAAACTCTAAGTGACCCAAACTATAAATGCATGATATAATAGTCACATATTTGAGTGCAGAATTGTTCAAAATATTGATTAGCTTCTCTTCGTAAAAATTATTTTTCCACATATATAAAGGAACAAAAAAGTAAGCAAATGTAACATGTCACCTTGCCTTGGAGCCAAATCAGTATGGATTGAAACCTCTACAAAGTGTGAGCTGAAATAAACCTTTCATCATTTAAATTTGGGCATTGTTTTGTCTCAGTAATGCGAAAAGAAACTAAGCCACTAACCAATTAATTGAACAGAGGAAAATGTATTACAAGGGAGCTTAATTATATGAGGCTCCTATTTGCTGTGCACTTGGAGATCTCAAAAATGTGGCATATTCAGTAAACTTAAGATGAACTGAAGGTCCCCAAATTTCCCTTTATCTGTCCACACTTTAGCAATCTCAGATTTATAGATACAACTAGCGTCCATCCAGCTAATACAACAGGTGTCCTCTGTTCACTTGCTGTTTTATTATGGCTCCAAAATCACACTTTCTATATATTTTACCAAATAGAAAATAGTCTCTGTTGTGTATTCCGTGTCCTAAGTCTTACTAACAATATTGTTTTCTCAAAGCATGAATGTGTTCAATTTCATTTATTAATTTAAACTTTATATTTTAATCTTTGCTCTTAGGATAAAAAGAAAAATAATTAATTCATTTAAGTCCTACATGATCTGGATCCTTTTTTTTTTCTTGTCATCTAATTATTGATTTCATTCTTCAAATTTCAACAATTTTTTTCTGGTCTTTTAATGAATATATTCCACTGTGCCTTAAAACAGTTGTCAGAAATGCTCCACTGTGAAAGCAACTTTTCTTTATTTAACTCTAATATATCTTTACTTTGGTAAAGTAACGTAGTGGGGGACCTCAATATCCTATTGGCACAAATAGACATATCATCTAGACAAAAAGTCACCAAAAAATACTAGAACTGAACCAAGCTTTTGAACAAACTGACTTAATAGGTGTCTACAGATTGTTCCACCCTACAAAATCAGAACATGTATTCTTTTTTGGCTGCACATGAAACATTCTCCAAATAGATCACATAGTAGCTCATAGAATGTGTTTAAGTAAATGTAAAGGA